CTTACAAAGACTCGAACTCCCTTCAAGCCTAGCCAACACTACTCAGATCCTATCAATTATTTCTCCGGCCACGTCCCGTGGACTTTTAACAATCTACACTTACTCCCTAAGTGTATAAGTTGTCAAGAAGTTTTGGATGAAACACAAAGAACTAAATAAAAACAGTTTCAGTCCTCGAGTGAGTAAGAACTCTCAGACTGAACTGTATACAACTGAATAAAACATAAAATGTATGAAGCTCGAATATTGCTCTAAAATTCTTGTCACATCAGCAGCCGCAATAGGAGCTCTTTCTAGGGTATATATATGTACTCCTTAGGGTTGGAGTCTTCTACAAAGCATGGGACTCCAATATGATTTCCTTCCTTGATTATAGCATAAGAATTTTGGTAAGTGAATCTTCTTCCCTCTCTCCTTGATCCCTTTAGCATACACGCCTCTCCCTTCCTTATCTCATCCGATTTCCTACAGAATAAAGTACCATAATAAGATCCATAATATCTTATATATGGAATACAAAATAATCTTAATTAAGGAAACAATTAAGCAAAGATCTTCCCTGTTTCTGTAGTTCCAGGTGCTTGTTCGAACCTTCGAACTAATGCCAAAATAAAATATCTTTCAATAATTAAGGGAAATATTACTGTTTCGTTATTGTATCATTCCGTCAGGTGTTTTTATCATTCCATTTACGTGTAGTAAGATAGAATAGATGATCTAATGATTAAAATACCCGGCGGGATGACACCGTAACGGGTGTAGCATTTTTCATTAATTAATTTATTTAGTTATTCCAGTTTGTAATTTCTCTTTTATTATCATTTACCTATCGTTATGAAAAAGAAGAAAAAAAAAATAGTTTCTTACAACTTAATCGCTACATCTCAAAACCATGTATTATTGTCAATTAAAAACGAAAAAAAAAAACGAACTAGTATTAATACCCATGTACAACATGGATGTTGAGTTAATGAATATACGTGTAAAGTTATTTATATCTAATACCAAACCCAATTCCAGAGCAAAAATAATATAAAAACAACATCATGAAGCATAGATTTTCGCCATGTCAGCATTCGAAGCGTGAGAATTTGCCACCTAGGCTCAACACGTTTTGAATTAATATATAAGGAGAGATTCACAAATAAATGAGAAAAAACAAATCTTTATTTTCAGATTGACTTTTTTTTTAGGATACAAAGAAAGGAGGCTAACACATAGAGCCATCAGACAATTATATGCCGAGGATAAGCAACGCCAATGAGGTCATGTTGTAGCCACGGTCTAACTTCTAATGGGGGATCAGATAAACGGTGACAACCACTAGGGCCACGATGGGCGAGATCCGCCAAATAGTCCGCCGCAAAGTTAGCTTCACGAAAGCAATGAGTCACAGTAACTTTCCATTCTCGTGCAAGTAGTTCCCGGATGGCCCGAACCAAAGTACCATGCACTCCAAGCTCCGATAAGTCCCCATTTGCCAAGCCTACCACTTTTATTACCCGCTTCGGCAATAATATTTTCAGATTGACTTTAATTAAAGGTGAAGTGCAGTTCGTGAAAAATACTAGTTGAACACTTGAACTTTTATTACACCCTTTTTCATCAACAAAACAGTTTGTTTGGCGTGATCGAATATTCCAACCTTTGCCGATTGAAATGGTTGGGTATGTTGTCCACCCACCCACCGTTTTAATTAATAATCGAAACAAATGAAGTTATAGAAAAAAGCAAAAACAGAAACATTTGGGGATGCAATCAAAACTAAATGGAACAATGTTTGAGCCGATGAAAATGTCATATTGTTAATTAGTTCTTGCAATTGTTTTGAAATAAAATGGTGATTGAACATTATTCAACGTAACATTTCATTTTCGGTTCATTATATTGGTCAATTATCAAAAATGGTCCACTAGTTTGGCGGACATCAAATTTGATACAATCAGTTATAAAATTCATCATTTTTGGTCCATTAACCACTCGGGCTGGATAACGAGCCTACGTGGCAGATATCAAACTTGTCCACGTATTCGCCCGATAAAATGCCACGTAGGCTTATGAACCAAAAATGATGAATTTTACAACTTATTGTCTCAAGTTTGATGTCTGCCAAATTAGTAGACCATTTGTGGAAAATGGCCTATATAATGGACCAAAAATAAAATTTTGCCCATTATTCAAACTTTGGAATTTGAGGAAGATGTTTATCTAATAAAATAAATATAATATTTGCATACTGGTTGATAATAAAATCAACACTAGATATGAATACTACATAGTATTACCTGACTGATAAACTAAGACATATTTTACATATATCGATAAAAATTTATTATTAAACCAAATGAGGTAGAGTTTGGCTTGGTTTGGCTCGACTAGTTAAGGTTCGAGCCCGATTATCAAACTAACCAAACTCAAACTCATTTACTTGGCAAGTCAAGTTTGACTATACTCGTTGAGACTTAAAATTAAAAATTTATAATTTTATATAGTTTGACTCTTTAATATTAATAAACAACTAGAATTTGAGTTGAGTTTGTTAATGAACCGATCTCAGCTCGAACTTGAGCTTGAGTGTCAGGAACTTAAGTTAGAGCTCGGTTTGTCTACATCTCTACTTGCAAGAATAAATTTACAACAATCACATTGAGGACAAATATACATAACTTGCAAGAGCTTTTGTTGTGATTTTTTATTTTGTTTTGGACCTAGTGTGTTGTGTTTAGGATTCTAGGCTGTATCGCGCTATCTGCACATGAGGTTAGTCCTCCCATATATTCAGATGAGTATGTGACTTTTTGGCTGTTTAGTTGTTCTCTAGTTTGTAATTATGTTTGTTTTTCTATTGTAAGTTTGTCATTTCATTAAGAAAAAAAAAAGACAAATATACATTACATTTTTATATTTACTCCAAAATTTGAATCTTTTGATAATTCAGAATGTACAACAATATACAGGTAGTATTTCGAACCTAATAATATAATTTATAATTTTTTTTATTAATTAAGAATAAAAACCTCTGTGTTTTGTTTCATTTTTAATATATTTTTAATTCGACCACACACAATTTCTCCTTATTATTTCTTGAATATATTATTTTTTTCAATTTCAAACTAAAAAAATAATAAAATATCAAGAATTCGTGTAATACAAGAGTATTGTAGTAGTAATAATTTATATTCGATAGATAAATAACATGCATACAATTGTGACATAATCGTGAACACGTGATATTTATCAAATAAAATAAGACATGAATTTAATTTTATTTTGGCAGTAGTAGATAGAAAAAAGGACCATGAGTCAAAATATATGTAAAAATAAGGAGTTTTATCAATAGAAGGCTCGAAAGATGGGTAAACTATCAATGCGATGCCTGAAAGATTTTTTTTCTCAACTCGAAATTTAAATGTTATAAACTATCGAATTAAAGACCCGAAAGATGGATAAACTATCAATGAGGGGCCTGAAAGATTTTTTTTCCTCAATTCGGGACTTAAATGTTATAAAACTATCAAAGTAAGTCTAGAATTAACAAAACTCACACCACCATTAAATTTAGAGTTTTAAAAAAAATTGGTGTTTAAATCTAGAGTTTTAAAAAAAAAATATAGTATTTAATTATTATATTTTAATTTCATATTCATTCACATTTTTAAACTATCAATGCATATGAATGAAATTTCAATAAGCATAATAGTCAATTTAAATAGAAAAATCATATTAATTATTTACTTAATATAATTATTTGCATTATTCTTTTTAACAACAAATACATATATTTATGAGGACAAACACTTAAGAGTACGAATGGTTATAAATTATGTAAAAGTGTTTGAATGTAAAATTGGGTTAAAGAGTAGAAAAAATTGATGGAAGAATGCAAAATTTTTAAAAATGTGATGAATATGAAAATAAAATATAATAATTAAATATTATATCTTATTTTAAAACTCTAAATTTAAACACCAATTTTTTTTTTAAAACTCTAAATTTAATGGTGTTATGAGTTTTGTTGAATCTAAACTTAATTAGATAGTTTTATAACATTTAAGTCTCGAATGGAAAAAAAAATATTTCAATCTCCGCATTAATAGTTTACCCATCTTTCCAGCAATTGATAAAACTTATAAAAATAAAATGAAAAAAGAATCGCCTTGGGCAGTGTATAAATAATTAAATATTGATCCTTCACTCTCCCAACTAGTTTTTCTGCTACCAATTTTTGCACGAAGACCAATGTCTTTTTTTGTATCCTTACTGTTCCTCTTCTATTTACGCCATCCAAACACGCCCTCTCTCCCTCTTCACGCACACAGAATGAGAAGAAACAAGCTACAGACTAGAGAGAGAAGGCATGCATAAATATCGAAGCCACGTGTCCGCTGATCAAAACAAGCTACAAATGCCGCTAAAATTTAATAAACCCTGCATCATTATACTAAGAAATGTTACGGTTCGTTACGAAACTATTCCGTCAGAATTTGTAACCATTAGATCATCATGTAATCGCTGAAGATAATTAATCTAACAATTACATACCCCGATCAAATAATTATATAATAAGACTGTAGCATCTCCCGTTATACATTCCCCACCCCCAAACACGCCCTTATTATTTCCTATTTATTTATTCCCCCACCCTCACATTTCAATAACAGGGAAACACACTCTCACTTGGCAAAGGTTAGACCGTTTTCGTTTCTGTTTCTTTCATTCTTCATTTCTTTATTAACTGTCCTAACTATAAATAATTAAGGAACCTTTATAATATTCACACAATATATGTGTACTAAAATTTTCCTCCTGTTTGTTGTCCAATTTTGTTTCAGGAAATTAAGGAAACAATATGTCTAAGTTCTTTGCATGTTTGTTGTTTGTGTTGCTACTTGTAATGAGCTGCAATGGCGAGCAAGGTTGGAATGAAGCTCATGCTACCTTCTATGGAGGTGGTGATGCCTCTGGCACTATGGGTACACTACAAGAAAAACTGCATTTAGTGACGTTTGTTTTTGCGCTTAGTGACACTTATTCGTATAATTTGAGTTCAATTTTGGATACGTTGGACACCATACAGGTGGGGCGTGTGGGTATGGCAATTTGTACAGCCAAGGCTACGGCACCAACACAGCTGCCCTGAGTACAACTCTGTTCGAGGACGGGCAGATGTGTGGGGCCTGTTTTGAGGTGAAGTGCGTGGACGACGAAAAGTGGTGCCTCCAGGGCTCGATTATGGTGACGGCCACCAATTTGTGCCCGTCTAACAATGCCTTACCGAGCAATGACGGCGGGTGGTGCAACCCGCCCAACGTGCATTTCGACCTCTCGCAGCCCGTTTTCGAGAAGATTGCCAAACAGGAAGCTGGGATTGTTCCTCTGCATTACAGAAGGTTGTATATATTCATTATTAATAATGAAAGATTGCTTCTTTATTTGGAAATAATAAAAATTATTATTATTGTTCTTGATTGTTTTATTTACCTTCTACTCATTTTGAGAATTTAATTTGAAATTATTCAAATTTTGTGTCCATGAAAAATTTATTACCAAGAATTAAGCCTTTGTCTTGTGATAGTCCCAGTATGCTAAGATTCTAGCTAGTGTCCAAAATTATACAACTAATATAAAATTATAAACAGTTGAACTCAACCCGTGACATGAACTAATATTTTATTTTGTTGCATTTTTGCATGTTGTCCTGTTGTATAATATTTTCTATTCTGATTAATGTGATTGTGTGTGTGTGTGTGTAGGGTGTCATGCCAAAAGAAGGGAGGCATAAGGTTCAGTTTAAATGGCCACTCCTACTTCAATTTGGTCTTAATCACCAATGTGGGAGGCTCGGGTGATGTCCGGTCGGTTTCCATCAAAGGTTCGAAAACTAATTGGGAGCCGATGAGCCGAAACTGGGGGCAAAATTGGCAAAGTTTTAGTTTACTCGACGGGCAAAGCCTCTCGTTCAAGGTCACCACGGGTGATGGCCGCACAGTTACTTGTGATGATGTCATCCCTGCCGGGTGGTCTTTCGGTCAAACCTTCACAGGCCCACAATTCACTTGAGACGTTACGTGCGGTCATGGACTACGAGTCACGAGTCGAGTTCGGTAGAATGTAGGGTTTTAGTTATTTTACACTAGTCACTTTTACCATTTTAGGTAAATTGTGTGAAGGTTGTGTTCTGTCTTTGGGTCTTTTTGGGTACGAAAGGCAGATATTTTATGCAGTGGTTTGGTTTTTATCATCATCACTACTAGGCAGTACTTTGTGTATCGGTAGTTGTACCTTGGGAGTGTTTTTGTGTTTCTTGGAAAAATGCACATGTAATCTGTTAGTATTGTCTTTATTTATGGTCAATAAAATAAAAAATAGATGAAAGGCCGTAGTCCTGGCTTTTAGTTATCCAAATCTCTTATATATATGTCCATTTTTGGAAACCTGTAAACGAGGATGAAATTGAGAAGGAACTGAACATGTTTGGAGATTACAGGAGGCAAAGTTCTTATTGCATTTCTCTGGAAATCTCGAGGGGGAAAAAACGAGCCTTACACGCCTCGAGCATGAGCGAAAAAAAAAATGCTGTAAATACTTTTTACAGTACAGAGATCTTTGGAACTTCTTGATCATCAGAGTTTAAATTCAAGCAAGTTTAACTAATTTGGTGGCTGCAAAAAGGAAGAAGAAGAAGTTATTCACTTATTTGCACAAAAATGGCATCAAATGAGAACTTAACATATTGAAAACATCAAAAGTCTAGAAAAGCTCACCTGCGGGTAAGAATAAGATTGCTCGTTGAGCACAGAAATGGCGCAAGAGCTAGCTGTGGGGATCACATTATGTGGGAAGGTGTTGTAAATCGATCTCTGGAGCTCAAAGTTTGCGTTCAACTGATAGTCAATGATGCTCGGCTGGAAACTGGCCTCTTTTGCAGGCTCCATGAAGTCAAGAAAGCTCAAATTTCCAAAGGAGTGATGAGTGTACTGTTCGCCAAGTGGCACTCTCAACTGAGCAGAACACGCGTAATCATCGACAGTGATGACATCATCCTGTCTTTGGTATTTCAGCTGTCTCGTTTTGTCGAGTTCGTGTTCTTTCACTTCTTCGAAATAACCTGTGCCGGCTGAGAAGGGCGCGTCTCTTGAGCACTCCACATCTCTAATTTAAGGTAAAAAAAAATTAGCAAACCTTAACCTTACATTTGAACCATAATACTAAACTATAAACCATAATTCATGAATTACAACTTGGCAAAAGATATGTTTAATGATCAAAATCACATGTAATAAACAGAGAAAGGTATGAACTCACCCACTAGTCAGAAAATTGGGTTCATTTGGAAAATGCATCCCGTCTTGGAACTGCGTGTCGGTAATTACCGGCTTGTACACTCTCCCGAAATCTCCACACACCTATATAACTCACACGTGAAAAGATTAAAAAAAAAAAAAACGTGGAAATTGAACGGTGAAGTAATTGGCTCGTTCGTTTGTTTGTTACTTGGCTTGTGCAGTCGTATGAGATTAGAGAGTCCTTCAAGAACTTATCCTGCTGAAAGAAAACCGAGCATTGTAAATGTAAGCGTATTTTCCGATAAAAAAAAAAAATTACTACTTTTCGATATGCAGGCCAAAGAAAAAAGAGTTTACCTTGTGCATTCGAGTCCTGTTAAGTGTCTTGCTAAGCGAGGTTTCCATCTGATTAAGGTGCTCAATGTCTTCAATCTTGTCTGGATTAATCCACCAGCTGGATAAATTCGAATGATCGTTTTATGAATCAAAGAGTCGAATTATTATCATTAAGTTTATCAAAGGAAAATTGCAATGGTCATACTCGACTCTTTTATTTACTTCACCGATTTGGTTATGCAGCATCTGAACGCGGTTGTGCATTTCCTATCCATACAAAATAAAAAAATACCGTGAAAATTTAGAGATTGATCGATCAAGATTACGCTAATGCCCGGTTGTCGTCTATCCGCAAGGGCTAGTGAGTGAAATGTACCTCAATCGATGGAGTACTGCAAAAAGGAGAATTCAGAAGTTAAGAAAAAAAACACACACACACACACACACACAACATGAAAAGACAAAAAAGAATGTACAGAGGCTGAGAATTCGAAAACACGCAACAACAAGAACTTAATACCTTTCATCAAGAAACTCTTCTATATCCACGTCCTGGTCGAGCTTCTTAAAGTTTCTCTTCAGAGTCTTATCATTTCATTTATTCAAAGCGATTAGCTTCAAGAAGCATTCGAATTCGAATACAATAGTAGAAAAATAATTCGTTGAAAACGTGAAAACGTACCTCAAGACTCTCCAACCTCCTTTTCGCCCGTTCTTTCGGTGTAAGTTGAGCATATTTTGCAATCATTTCATCAATGTTGCTGATATCAAATAAAATGAAGTTAGAAAACATTCAACAAATTACATTGCAATCGATTTTTTTTCATTTCATTCAATACAAATATTCAACAAATCTACCTTCGTTGCCCGCGAAATACGGATGGCTTCCCGGTCGGGGAAAACATGATGAGGATTATATCAATGTCACATAAAACAGAAATCTCCTGGGCCTTCTTCAAAATCCCGGCTCGTCTTTTGCCGTACGTAACCTGCCGGCTACTCAGGCTCTCTAGTCTCTGTATCTTCAACTTTACCCTTCCCATCCTACACAAAAATGTACAACAAAAACTGATCTTATCTTTGAAAAATGTATGAATTATGAAAAAAAAAAATTAAAACAGGTAAATGATCAGATCAAAGTTAATACCTGAATTATGAAAAAAAAATGCAGAAAAATAAGAGGATCTTAAAATGGGTTATCCAAATGAGAGTAGATGGGAATGTGAAAAGTAAATTATTAGTAATAATAATAAATAAATAAAAAATATTGTGGGAAGATGAGAAAGAGGAAGAGGAGGCTAAGGACAAGGATTGAGGGGCAGAGGTGAGGAGAGGTTGTACTATTATTCAGGCTGTTAAAACTCGCGGGAGAACCGAAACAACGTTAGAGTTAGATACGTGTGGGGCCAGGCCTACAACATAGATGTTTCGGGCTGTGGTTTTGAAGGCCCTAAATCGGCCCAGAAATATATATGGGTCGGTTCGGTGAATTTGCAGTTCTGAGCCGATTCACGGATCGCTGGTTTCAAATTAGCCCAGTTCATTAAAAATTTAAAAAAATATGAAATCGCCGGTTTCGACTATTCAAAATTGACCTCAAAAGTTTAGAATATTTCAAATATGTGGTCTCGAACCGACTCGATCAAACCACGAGTTTGGTTCAAAGCCCGTTGACCATGGTTCGAGTCCGTCCCGCCAGTAGTCATGTTTACATCCATGAAGATAGATTGATGGGCTTCACCCTTCAATTTGCAATATTTGTAATTAAAAAAAGATATATATATATATATATTGTGCTTGATTGACTGAGATGTTAGAAATATTGAAACACAAGTTAATTAAAAAATGAAGTTGAGAGTAATAGAAGAAAATATTAGGCGCATAGGATATTGACCAAAAATAATTTTCAAAATAGCACTATTCTTTCTGTATTTTTTTTTTTTTT